TAAAATAAGATTTTATATTAGATTTGATTAGGTTGAAGTTCGGCACAAAGTGGTCATAGCCGGTAACAACAATTTTGTTTTTGAAAACAAAACAAAAATTAATTTAAAAAAAAAGGCGTCTCACAGTACCTGGCATATTAACGTAAAACCTAAGAAATAGTGAACCATCTTGCTACAGATCATAACTAATACAGTCTAATATTCGTACCTCTTGATACTTTAGAAAAACCTGATCTAATTAAAATGATATAACATTTTAAACTTACCTTAAAAAAAAAGTTAATTTCTAATAGAGAAGTTAACTTCTGAATCAACAAACTTGGAGAAAAATCAAAAGAACAGCGTGAATCACTATATTTTTCTGCACAAATTGAGTGTTCTCGAAAAGTCTCTTTTTACCACGCATGTTAATAGAAAGGAATCATCGACAAGCATTAAGAAAAACCACGTTACCGCTCGCAAAAAAAAACGTTCCAAAATCGTTTTAAAAACGCATAAACAAGAAGCCCCAATCGAAGTACCTAGCTTAGAATGCAGCCAGATATAGGTCAGTTTATCATAGATACCTACCTATGTAGACTAAATGGAGTAACATAATGTATATATATTTTTTTAATTGTCAAGTCCAGATATAAAAAACAAATTAGTATAAAAACAAGTATCAAATATTGTAATTTAATGGGCTAAATAATCTTTTTTGATGTGTTAAAACCCAAAAAAAGCAATTTAAAACAGTATATGTTTACTTACTTTGAAGTACTTTAAAAAATAATCTACACAGATCAACATTTTTTTAAAATTTTTTCTAGTGAAATATAACTGGCAATTGGGTTTAAAATTGGGTACCATGAAAAAAAAACTCTCGAAAAAGTTGCCGAAAAATTCGCTAATGTTTACATCAGCGAACTTGTTACGCGGAAAATTAGCAAACTTGTTACGCGGAAAAAGTCACGTGACTAAAGTGCCTAAAAACGCCGCATTGAAATTTTTAGGTAAAAGTAAATTTGTAAAAGTTGATTCAGTCTACTTAATAATAATACTTATTGCTAATTAAAATCTAATTAAAGTTTACATATATAGACATTTGCATAGTCTTTCGTTTACATGGATAAAGGGATCGTCCATAAAGGACGTACGCTCGGAGGGCAAGAGGAGTCTGCAAATGGCGTAAATGAGATGGGAGGGCAGTGGGTCAATTATAAAAGAAAGGAGACACTAAATTTAAAAAAACATCATAAAATGTTAGATAAATAGGTTAAAAGCCTAGGTACTCAAAAAAGCGTATTGCAAAATGCGCTTTTTTGAGTACTACGGAGGGGGGGGAGGGAGTGGACAAAAAAAAGCGTACGTACTTTATGGACGACCCCAAAATACAAATCATTACGGTTGTGATTCCTAAAAAAGATGGTCATATTTTTTGAAATAAGATATTTAAGTTGAGAGAAAAACTGAAAACAATATCTACCTGAATTATGTTATCTTCAAATTTATTATGTTTACAAATAAAATTACCCTGATTAGTTTATAATTTATAAAAAAAACTCTAATTAGTTTATAATTTACTTGTCTATTAATCACCCTTAGCAACAATCGCAGCCATATATATTCTTGGCATTCTACTTAACGACTTATCTAATTAGTCAATTTTATGTAATTAAAATTTTTCAAAAAAGAAAATATACACCACATGTATTTAATGTAAATCAATTTATTTATACATAATAACAAAACAAAATATATAAAAAGTTTTATTTACTAAAAAAAGTAAAACTACAACAGCATCATCAACTAACAACTGATAGATTAACTACAAAAATACTAATTATAGACATAGCGTATTTTCCCACCGCTCCCTCTTCTCGTATTTTCTATTTTTTTACAGGATCCAAACTCCTTTTCAAAAACGAAAAAAGATTTTTAATCATGTTCTTAAGAAAAACATTTTATTCAAAACCGTCTTACTGTGTTCAAATAAAGTTTTGTTGCCGCGTGGCAAGCTTGCTTTTTATAAAACTTTTTTTTAAACTTTTTTTTAAATTTTTAAAACACAAAACAAATCAATTTCATTATTCTTTTTCAAGTGTTTAATTTTGTATTTTAAAAAAATCAATTAAAAAAAAAGGTACGATAGGACTTGAAACCCGATCTCCACCTCCGTAGTCGCCGCACTAACCACTCGGTCATGTAAATACATAAATTAGGTAAAGTTTAAAAGTATTTAAAAATCAAAAGACTATATAAAATGAAAATAAATGCTATTGATCAAAATTAAAAAGATGTCGCAATGCAAGTAAAACTGTAAAGTTTGATATTACCTATCTATTATTATAAAACTTGATGTTACATAAATAATAAAAATACACTAAACATACAGTTTCGTTCGAAGATACACCTTTGTTTAAAGATACACTTTCGTTCACGTTTTCTTATAAAACAAAGCTGCTGCAACACTTTCTCGCCATTACCTTGGTTGCAATGGCTGCTAAGAGTTCTGTGTCAAACAGGCTCGAAAGGGCACTACTACTACTATTAAAGAGATCCCAAACTCCCAACACATGTTGTGTTCATATTAAAGATCATGTTAAACAAAAAGTTTAAACCAAGTTTTTTTGATTAAAAATAAATAATGAATGCTTACCGTGAAAAACTAATGTTGTTGTTTTAGCCAAAGCACGCCTTTTCCATTTTTTTCAATAACTCAGAGTCTTCAAATTATACATCGCAATCTACAGACTTTGGCGATTCTTTGAAGTGCGTTTAATTCATAAAAGTTTTAGCATTTGACGTCACGGTAGACTTTTAAAAAATGAAACTCTGGAAATATTTTTATTTATTTTTATTCAAAATTTTTTTGATTATTTGTTTAGTTTTTTTCTTCTATTTTTAACATTTAAAAATATATTAAAAAACCTTAAATATTTTATGCTGGTTCGTTGCTATAAATTGTTATTGCGCCATATATTTAATGTTTATAAATTATGAATATTTATATCTCAATTAAAACTCTGACAAAAAATTGTTTTACATTAATTACCTGTATAGAACTAGTAACAGCATTTTTATTTGGTTAGACGATATTTTGTTTCGATTTGCTTTGCATGAAGTTCGGAAAGTCAAACGAAAAAAATTAGTTTGAATAATCACGTCAAAATATATTTAAAACAAATTATTTTAATGACAGGGGTTCTAAAGTTTTTTGTAACAAATGTAGGTAAAAAATAAATAACTGAATAAAAAGTTCAACATTAAACATTTCTTTATTATATTGCAACTGTAAATATTAAAATATTAACTTGAACTAAATTTACTTATTATTTAGAACGACTAAGCAATAAAAATAAAATGCCCCTAAAAATATGCAATATTGTGCTCTTTATTTGATAATTGTTGTGGGTAATGTTGATTATTTTCATTAATATCAAAATAGTAACTTTTCTTTGAATTTTTTTAGATAAAAAAAGTTTAATAGTAACTTTTCTTTGAATAAATGAGAATTGGAAGAGAAAATTGCTTGAATATTTGTATTTGTTAATTGTGTTTTAAAAATATTCAATTTTTCATGTTAAGAGACAAATGACAAATTGACGAAAATATACGAGGAAAATACAACGAAAATACAACGAAAATATACGAACTTCATGTTTTTAATTTGATGGTTATAAAATATTGAACAGTAAACTTATAATCAAAATTTATAATGCCGACTTGTGTTGCTTTTAGTTGCACTTTTAATGCAAAACTAGGGTCTCACATATCCTTTCACGAATTTTTATATCTGATACTACTGTCAACTGTATTGTTTAGTGTATTCTTGTACTTGTTTTTCATAACCTTAACAGGTTCTAATTGGTATGGAGTTGCTGACATTTCAAAAATTTCATTATCAAAAATCAAATGTAAAATAAAATGATATTTTCTTTTTATCTGTATCCAATTCAAATAATTTAGCAATTTAAAATAAATCAGCGTAATCAAAAAAATTGTTTTAATAAAAAAAGTTAACAATTCATCAAATATCTATAATTAATACTGTCACTTTATAAAATGAATTGTTAATAAATCCTTTTTTCGACGGGAAAACAAAAAATTGTCATAGCGTAAAAATAACGAGAGAAGTTAGAAAATAGTTCCCATTGTTTAAATACAAAATAAGTAAGAGTCAGAATATATATAGTACTGCGCTCTCTTGCACAAAAACGAGAGACCGTATAAAAAACGTTCTGAATAATGTAAATATTCGTATGAAAAATTAGTAAGTAAAGTTTTAATATTTGTATTAATTTAAAAACAATAGAAATATAAGTAAGATATATAAATCTAAAAATTATTAAGATATCTGTAAAAAATAAGTTGCTCCTATAAAAAAATAACAATTTATTGTTTTTACTTTTTACAAAAATATTTTTGCGATGTTTGGAAAAATAATACAAATAAATTTGTTTTGCTGTATGTTGAAAAAATACTACAGTAGAAAAACGAAGCTTAGTTTAATTACACTTTTCTTTTGTTAAAAGTCTACCTTGACGTCAAATACTAAAATTAAACGCGCTTCAAAGGAATTGCCAAAGTCTGTAGATTGCGACGCATAATTTGAAGACTTCGATTTTTTAATCAAAAAAACCTGGTTCAAACCTTTTTTTTTTTTAACATTATCTTTAATATGAACACAACATGTGTCGGGAGTTTGGGATCCCTTTAAAGGACAATTTAAGTCAAATAATTTTTTTAACTTTGCACCACTTTTGCTAAATTCAGTTAAGACAACAACTTTTCAAAAAAAAGTTTATTTAAAAGAAATGTCTAGAAGGTAAGTCGAACTACCTTAAAAATTTGGACTGGCCTTAAACAACCTGAGTACTTTGATTTGTTTTTACTGCTTTTTAGACCACTTTCTGGAGACTTAATTGCGTTTAGTCATACAACATAATTGTGTTTTTATAAGAAAACAGAATCTATTCTATCTTAAGGCTCCGTTATTATTATTGTTGTTTTTTTTTTAGATATATTACTTCCGTATGTATATGGGGTTGATTTTGATTGGTGCAATACATGGGTTTGTTTTTTTACCAGTCTTACTTAGTTTTTTTGGTCCAGCAAGCAGATGTACTGAAGAAGATATAAGTCGAGCAGCAATGCAACAAACTAGAGCTAAACTTCAAACTAAAGATCCATTAGTGAAAGTTTTTAATTAATTATAAAAAAAATTTTAAGTTATTGTCAAAAAATATTATTTAGAAAGAGTGATTTTATAAAATTATAAATATAGTAAAGAATGAAATAGTCGCTTCAGTATTTGACTTTTTTGAAAATCTTAATGGGAAAAACCTTTGGATTGGTTATTTTGGTTTTCTTTATCAACCTCTTTCCTTTTCTTTTTTGTACTAAATATTTTTTTTTTTTTTTTTTGTAAAAAATTTCAATTTTATAGAATGTGTTTGTATAAATATAAATATATATTTAGTATGTATGCATATCAGGTACGTAGCTTTAGAAAATATACCTAAAAATCTAGATATATGTGGAAAAAGAAAATCGTATTCAAGTTTTATTGCATAAAAACTTTAGTTTTGCTTAATATTTAACAACAAAAGCTAGCATTTTTAGAATAACGTTTTAAAAAATGAATTTTTTAATGTTATACACAGCATTGATGCTTAATACATAATTTTATAGTTGAAAGTTTAAAAAACTCGTTTTCTTTAAAAATATAAACTACGTCACCGACGTATGTAACACGTATTGTCTAAATGTGTATTGTGTTGCCTATATGTGTGTATGTATGTATATATTTTTTTTAATATACAAATAACGATGTTATGTTCTTATTTTCATAATTATAGATAGATAGCTTAGTTCAAACGACAAACGAATTTTTAAAATCTGGATTATTGTGCGATACGAGTTCAAAGCCGTCCACCGCCACTTTAGCACTTGAGTAGTATATTGATTTGCTAAAATTTTGCTTAATAACGGACGCTACTTTGGATTAGTTTCAAGATATTTGTAGTAGTTCCTATGCTAAGCCAGCAATTCGTAAACAACATTCTATAGCCAAATACAGCATGAAATTTAAATAATTAGGTATCTTGTTAGGTAATCTTTAATTCATTAGGTATCTTTGATTATTTAAACACCTAAAGAGAGTATTGATAAATGTTTTTTTTATCTTTAATTTTCAGTCTTTAATTAATTAGGTATCTTATGTATCTAATTATTTAAACACCTAAAGAGAATATTGCTAAATATTTTTTTCAATTAGTCGAGTATATTAGACAGCATTATTGTCTTCTTGATTACAAGTAAAATTATTAATTTGACGTAAAATAGATTGATTTGCCTGTGTCATTTAACTTTAGTGAAATTCTTTTTTTCAGTTTTTTTTTAATATTTCAATAATACAGTTTACATTTTTATCTTTTTAACTTGCTTGAGGTGATTAGTGATTTTTTTGATCTCTAAGATTTGTTGCATTTATAAAATGTTTACCACCTCTGAAATTTGTTGCATTTATAAAATGTATACTTGCTCAAACTGTCTTATCGGTATTTGTTTATTTCGGCAAGAGGGTCGGTAAATAAAAATTGTCTTATTGGTAATTGTTTATTTTGGTAAGAGGATTCATTTAATCGACTTTCTTTTGCTTTTTTCGTGTATTGTGTTTCGTTGCTTTTGACGTGTTTTATGTTTTACTTTTTTTTCTTCTTTTAAATCATCTCCTTTTAAATAATCTCAATGTTCGTTTTTCAGTTTTAATAAATTAACACTTTATCTTCGTCTTTTAATTCGTTTCAAATCTTGACAATCAATAAAAACGTAGATACTGAAAAATTGCTGTTTTGATATGTCTGATTTTTTTTATTCTTATTTTTTTTTATTTATTTGTATAAACATACATATCTAAACAAAAACACTTACACACTTGCGAGTGTATATACATACATACATACATTTTGTATATATAAATTCTTTTTTTTTTTTTTTTTTTAATATAAAGTTTTACATTTACAAATATTGGAGTTTTTATACTTTTAATAAATTAGAATAGAGAATTTAATCACTATATCAGTAAAAAATAAAAATAACAAAAAAAGAAATAGACTAGATTAAATAAAATCTGATAGAAGATATAATGATCTTGTCGCTAGAACCAAAAAACGTTATAATAAAAACATAACCTAAGCTATTAATAAATATAAACATATAAAAATGAAAAAACACAAAAATAAAAGAACGTGTTTATATAAATTTTTTTTTTTTTTTTTTTAAGTATTTCAAAATATTTCATTAAAAAATGAGTTCTTTTATTTTCTTTTAAAGACTGAGAAGCTAATTGATAAATCAAAATTATGGAAAACGATTTTATTCCAGAGATTAGGTGCTATACAGAATTAATTTTGTTTGAGAAATAGATTCATAGAGTAAGTTATCATTTCGTAGCGTAAACTAGTTTTTTTATTTTTAAGGTGATAAAATCTTTAAAAATGTACAATGACAGATTGAATTTATATTGAAACATAAAACATAACATTTTATAAAAATTCATTATAAATACTAAGTATTTTAATTAACTTTAATGTTTTTAAATATTAATTGTCGATTTTCAAAACAATCTAAGCATATTGCGTGTTTTTGACGATGATAAAAAGTACGCAACTTACTTTTGCTTGTACTTCCCCAAGCAATATTTCTATAGTTAATATAACTATGTATAATTGAGTAATAGAGTTGGATTGAAATGGTTTTAGTTAGATCAAGACAATAGCCTTTCGGAGTTTGAATAATTATCCCACCCAGCTCTTTACCACTAAGATCATTAGCTTTTAAAAATTTAGATATTTAATTTTTTTGTTGTAATTTGACCACAAATGTCTCTTTACTAATTTTGAATCGTTTTCAAAATATATGTGGCATTCCTTCCTGATCATTTTAAATGGTTTTCTATAATCTCCAACATCAATTTAATAAGCCAACAGTGCTTTGAAGCTTCCATTTACCTTTAATATTCTTTCATTTGTTTCAAGACTAACATTGTCGTCATCTCTTATACCTCAATATGCCATACCAAGTCTACCACAAAACATAACAGTTTTAATGATTGGAATTCGTTAACAGTCCACATGGAAAATACAGTCATTTGACAGGAAATGACGGACATTAGGCTGAAAAGTACATGTATTTTTATTAATGAAGATTTTCGTTTAAAACAAACAAAATATATTTCACCGCAGTTAAGCTAGAAATGAGTTAAGTAATATCCATTGCTGCGTTCAAATATATTACTATCTATTCCCAAACTTAAAAGATAAATTTTTGCAACATAGAGAAACAATTTTTATCTGCAGCAGTAATATCATAGAATCCTGCTAAAAATTTTTGTTCTGATGTTTTAGCTGCATGAAATATATGCTGCAAACTGCTAAACAATAATAGAGAGTAACTCTTGCATCTGCAAACTTTATTATAAAATGCGATCGTATGACACATATCTGCAGATAAAACTGAACAAGATATTTTCACTTTGATACCATTTGAAAAACTGCACAAGATATATTCACTATACACCATTCAAGTCAAATTTAATAATCGTGATTCATTATGTAACATCTTGGAGGAGTGTTTACATTTCTACAACCGTATAAATGGAAAAAAAATTTAGCATCATTTTGACGTAACATTATTTTAATAATGCAATATTACCCTCCACCCCCAAGTTTTTTTTTTTGGAATTAAAAATATGGTATTATGAATTAGTACAAATATATGCATTCAATCTTACGAACTTTCCCGTTTCTCATTATGGCTGATTTTGGAACGCTACTTAAAACATTTTTAGACAGTTTGATGACTCATAAGTATTTTTGAAAGCTATACCCCTAAATTTTTTCGAAACCATTAAAATTACAATAGGATACCCATTCCAAACACAATAAGAAACTCTGTGGAACTTTTTATGTCTCGGTACCAAATTCAAAAATGAGTGATTTTATCTAATGATTTTTAAACTAAGAAAGGGTTTTCCTCAGTATTTTTGAATTTTTTTTTTTTTTTGAAAGTTTTACATATACTTCCTTTTCTCATAAAATGTCTCTTAATGCTTTTGAATTTAAATAACTCAATGTTTTTTAGTCTTTCTTGAAAAAATCAGATTCCTTCATAGATAAGTCATAGATTTCAGTTGATGAACTTTGCCCTGCAAATAATATGCTAAAAACAAGTTAGAGTGCAGGACTGGATAAAATTGAATCTGATGTTGTAAAAGCAGTATCAGATATTATAGAGAAACCTCTTTTTTTATAACTTTTAATATTTCTCTAAAAGACGGCATTATTCCTGACCAATTAAAATTAGCAAAAATAATTCCGATTTAAAAAAGCGGCGATGACTTGATAAAATTTAACTATAGACTAATTTCCATACTTTCCTGTTTTTCCAAAATAATGGAGCATATTCTGCACAACAGACTGTAAAATTATCTTGCAAAAATAACATTCTTTATCATAAACACTCTGAATTTTCTAGATCTATCTAAAGCATTCGACACAGTCAACCAAAAGATTCTTATCTATAAACTACGCAATTATGGAGTAGTTCGCTCTAACTTAAAGTGGCTGCAATGTTAATTAAATCGTAAGCAAGGAGTGCCATATGATTTAACATGCACACGATTTGAATCAATAAGTTGCGGTGCTCCACAAGGATCAATACTTGCTGTTACAATACCTTTGTTGTTTTTAATTTTTATAAATGATATTTATTTGTCCTCAAAAAATACTTAATTATATTATTTTTGCTGATGACACTATTGTTTTCTTTTCAGAATTTAAAAAATATTTTTCATTATGTAAACAAAGAATTAATACGTCTTAATGAGTGGTTTATAGCAAATAAACTTTCATTGAATACTGACAAAACTAAATATATTTTGTTTGTGAAACCATCCTAAATCTGAACTTAATTAAACTTAAACTACCAGATCTGACAAATAACAATTTTAAAGCAAAACGAGTTTTTTCAATAAATATACTTGGAAATATTTTCGATAAACATTTATATTGAAAAACCCAAATTAAGACAAAACATCTTTTGAATAAAATATATTTTAAAAATTTATACTATTTATTTATACATAGTCATATTAACTATTGTAATATTGCCTTGGCAAACAATCATTCCTAAAAAATATTTATACAAAAGAAAAGCAAGCAAGTCGATTAGTTTTGGCAGATAGGTACGCAAGTGCCGAGCCGTTACTCAAATAAATGCTCTAAACGTAAACGATATAAATATCTACAATAACTTGTTGTTTACAATAACTTGTAAATTTTTCTCTAATTAATCATTAAATATGAAACAAGTGACTTAATAAGAAATTACTACATCCCACTAACATCACTAAAGAAATCTGATTTCTCAATTACATATCCCGATATGTGACCACGCTTGTGGAACTCGGTTTTTGACAAAAATATGAAAAAAAATAAAATCTATTGAAAATTTTAAAATAACTATAAAAAACACTTACTAAGTTTACACAATACATACATTCTTTTATTTTTTTTAAAAAAGAATTTAATTTTTTGAAATATCTTTCTTGTTGTTTATGTTAATCTGTTTTAATTTTGTATGAAAAAATATAAATAAATGAATTTTAATTTTCAAAATGTTTTGAGTCTTTTTAAATTCTAAGTCTCTTTTAAATATTTAAATATATTAGAATGCGTGTATTTTTTTTTTTTTTTTTTTTCAGAGATTTATTCTCATTTGTAAACTTATTAATTTTTTTTATAGATATTAATTTTTTTGTTTTGTTTTCAAACTTTTTACTTTTACTCTTTTTAAAAACAAAACTTGCAAAATTATAT